TTTGTACCTTGAATTGTTTTGGAGTATGAGTTTCAATGGAAATTGAAGAAAAGAAGTTGATGCAACAACATTATTTACGACCAAATGTCTTCGAATGCACCAAGCAGGCAAACAGATTGACCAGTTCTTGAAGAGTTATGTATTGTATCATCTTAATTCTAGCACCTCTGGCTAACTTGTAAGAACTATGCGTGCAAAAAAATTGAAATGTATTGACTCTTTCTTCAATTCTTTTATAATTATCTCTGGACTATTGACGTCTTTTTCATCACAACTTCTGCAAAATCATAAACTTTGCTCATCACGAACTTGCTATGTCCTTGGTTGTACCTGTTTATGATGTTTCTTCTTCTTAGTGAGAGGCGATCGAAGTGATTTACTGCGAAACTTTGCGCGTTTTCTTTAGTTTTTGTTTATCACTTAGAAAACCGCCAATTTCAGACGGAATTCGTTGTCGGACACACTGGTCATGGATGTCAACAGGTGGTTTACGATCTCAAGAATAGAGTTTCGATTGCCTACGTGAGCAATGGTCTAAAAACAGGTCTCTACAATTTATGCAGGACGTACAGTCGTCTACAAAACGCTGTATACGATGTTGTCGAGTCGCGTTTGAGCGAACCAAAAACCTTCAGTAGTTAGCAATTTTGCAAACTATGTATAATCTTGTATAATTTGCTAGTGACTATAATTGTATATGCAATCTTCATAGATACACGATTAGTAATTTCTGTGATTCTTGCCTATAAACTGTCTCGACTTATTCGCGTGATTTCAACTGTGCAATTGCTCCTAGCCTTGACGAAGCCAAATATGTACTGCATGAAATTTTTTTTCGGTTTTAGCTCAAAAGAAAACTCTCAAATAAATATTTTCCAGCTTTTGTACAGTAGCTCTGTGTAGAGCACCAGTCCGATAGCGCGCATTCATCGTTCAGCAAAATGCCTTAGTACATTCGCGAAAATTTTAATTTCGTTGAGGAAACCTCTTCGAAACAATCTG